ATTTCTCGGTATAAGTTTCACATGTTAAACGTTGTTTTAGTGGCATGAATTAACTGTAATAAAATTTTAACTTGAGAATCCGTGAGATCATCACTAGTTTCATTTTGATAATTTAAATTATTCATTTTATAGACCTCTTTGTATATATGATCCACGAAAAAAAATTAGATCGATCAATAATTTTAACATTTTCATTTTATCATGTATGATTTATTTTTTAAATCATATTTGTTATCCATTTTTTGGAGACAAGCGCGATAAAATAAAAAAAATAATGCTTATTTGATCGACTTAATTTTTTCATTGATAATATACATTGTGAGTTTTACAAAATGAATGATTAAAATCATTGAAGCAGAACTCGTGACGAACCTTCTCAAACCCTGAGTAATACTACGAACCATGAAAAAAATATCATGAAAACGATTATGAAATATTCTTCACTTTTGGATTATACCTATAATAAAACACCTTACACTTATCAAGAGATAAAAAATCTTCATGATACGTTTCATGATGTTTTTTTCATGTCTCCTAATATTATTCTTTTTTGAATTAGTGTGACCAGGTTCTCCTATATTTATCTCAATTGTAGGAAAAGTCGTGTAATTTGTCAAAAAAAATTCTCACTTCCTGTTTTCACTCATTTTCTATTTCCTTTACCTTTAATCGCGGCATTAATAATGTGTTCGACATTTAGACAAGCATTCAACGTTGAGTTTTTGTTTTTATTTATTTATTTCTTATTCAGATGAGATTCTTAAACCATAGTTTCTCTGTGAATAATGCATATTGTGATTATTTTTATTATTTAAAGGTGATATATCACACGCCATGTATTATGATGGTGACTTTGTACCAACAATGTTGTGATTTTATTGAATTGTGAGATATATACTAAAGTCTAGATTTATATATTGACAAAATCTAATAATAATTTTCCATACCAATTATATATAAAAAAAAAGACAAAAAAAAAAGGATAAATAAAATAGTCTCAAAAATAGAGGCACCTCTTCAATGTTTTGAAAATTGCACCTTTTTTCTCTAAATAAAAAATATTTTTCAATTTATTCAATTGAAATTTCATTTACTTCTTTTAAATCAAAATCTTGACTCTGTCATTACTTTCTATTGATTGTAAAAATAAGGATAAATTACAAATACACTTGTGAGGTTTGATTAAAATATGAATCGCCCCTTGTAGTTTAAAAATTACATTCTACTCTTTGAGATTTCTAATTTCATAACAAATCGTTCATTTTATTAATAAATCATCAAGTCAATTAATAGTTTTTAATGATGTTAAAAATATGTTTCAATTAATAATTTAGGTAATTTCATTATTGTATAGGAGAGTAATTATGAATTTTATTTTTTTAATTAATTCTGTTAAATAAAATTTTTTAATAAGGGAGTATTTGTAATTTTTTAAATCACAAAGAATAATCTGTTTTTTAAACAAATCCCACAAAGTGTATTTGTAATTTTACTTTAAAAATAAAGATATTGTGATGAGTCAATAATTCGTAAGTGTTAGGATCTCATCTTTTTCATTCCTATCCGTTGATAAATTATTGTTATTATCATTTTCTGTCGGTGGGCTTACTTTGAATAATTTTATCATAGGAGAAAGGATTTTTTTTAAAAAAAAATTTAAAATTTAAAAATCCCTCTTGGGCAAGGCACCACCATTTTCCTCGTTCTGAACTTTTGGTTCCGTTTGAAAAGTAGCTTCCGGTTAAAATAGTCATATAAAATAAAATTGATTATTTTAGTTAAATAAGATAAAATGTCACATTTAATTCATAATTATTTTATTTTTTTTCTTATAAAAATTAAAAAAATTAAAAAATTTATCACATACAAGACTTTTTAAACCCAGACTAAAATAATTAAGAAGCCAAAAAATAAAATACCAACCCACATTCCAAACCAACTCTTTGTGTTACTGAAATTGTGGAGGGTTGCATCATCATACCATGTGAAGCACAAAAGCAAGTGAAACTGTTTCACAGGTTAGTAGGCTAACTACCAATAATTTCAGGATCACATATATATATATATATATATATAGGCGTTGGCTTCTGTCCAGTCTTTAATCAGACTAGACCGTGTTGTTAGGCCTGTGAGAGTCCACCATAGATCCCGTTTTGATAATCTGAACCGTTCAATGTGTAGAAATCGTCGAGTACTATATGTTTATAAAAAATCACATTGATCGGATATCGATAACTATATTCAACCCAGTTAGAAGAAAAAAAATATATAACTTGTATCAACAAGAATGACACATATGAAACCCTCGTTTGGAATAGCTTTTTAATAATTTTTAATTTTTTGATTAAAATATAATGTAAAAAATTAATATATTTGAGAGAAATTTTTGATTTTTTATGAAAAGATGTGTAAAAAGTAGGTGAAAAGAGAATCTTTGACTTTTTGTATGATTATTGATTTTTAATTCTTTTAGTGACTTTTTAATTTTTTGATTAAAAAAGCACTTGCCAAACGAGGCCTTTGTAGACTATGCTACTATATTCCATATTAATAAATTTTACAAAAAATAAATAAATAACAGACAAAATTTGGAAAGTGAGTTGGCTTTTTAATTTTTTTGATTATTTTAGCATGGG